CAACGCACTCATAAATCCTCCGTTGCGGGAGTCAATGGGCGGCGCTGATTGCTTACCATCAGGTAATCCGTCTGCTCGTTTGCCCGTTTGATACCAAATCCGATGCCAATTTGCCACGCTTGCAACGTCATAATGTGACGTTTGTAACTACCAATGTGGCAACAAAATATACCAATACATAAACATATACACATATGCCACTATCGCCAAAAATCTATGGCACTCTAGGCGTTCCATTCGTTCGTTTCTTCCACATTAATGAAGCTGTTTAAGCATGTTTCAGCTTGGCAATCTTATTCTGTTTGGCTATAATATTTATAATCTCTCAATCTCCGTCCGAAATAAATACAAATGCATATTATTTAGGACAATGTTAACTTATATCTTTGCAAAGAAACCTGACATTATTGTAACTAATAGAATTTTCTAATGATTTGTTTAGAAGTGTGAAAAAAGTTTGAGCGACAATCAGACGGCACAATTCATCGGGGCATAGGGGGCGGTCGGCACTCTCAATATTCCGATTTAGGTACACTAACAGCCTAACAGCGATCATACTACGCAATCCATCGAAACTTATGGACTTAGGGCAAGATGATGCCGGCTGATCGGTACTTTAATTAACATATTTTCGTGTTATTATAAATTAGCTGCGTGACGCTCGAAACGTTGTGTCCCTCGCAATGCTGCTTATGAATATAAGACCCTAGCGTGGCTTGAAAATCGTGGAGTTTCTTAATATCTACAATCTACATACATCATGTAACTATACATAACAAGTACCTACTTAAGAGAATATCATGCCTTGGAACCGTTTTACGATTCAGCCGGGGTTGCGAGTCAAGCCCAAGGTACCACGGCCCTGGCCTGGAGTAGTGGTTTTAATCAGTAAGAGTCTAACCCTCCAACTCTTCTACCCTGTAGGTACGAGACAAGTCATTTGGTGACTATCATCCATCAAAAAATCTAACAATCTTATTAAATTTAACTGCGGGCATGTAAGTAAAAAAATGTCGAATTTTCAAAGCAATACAATTTAAAAAAAAACGATAGTTTCCTAATATTTCCATTTTACGATATAAGTACATCAAATTCGTTTTATTGTTAACTACAAAAAATAAGTGTGTTATTTGACGCAAAAGAACATGACGTAGTAACACACAATCTCGTACAAAATTCTTAACAAACTGTCAGTTTTAAAGTTTCGAAAAATTTTTGATTCTTACTAAGCAACTATGGTAGTTGTCAAAAACTCAATTGCATTCTTAGCCTACTCTGAAACTATAAATTGAACGTTCAGTGTGTGAAATAAATGATTTTGATTTTGACTTTGAAACTAACAAAAACAACCAACGACAAATTATTATAATCATTACACGAAAACATGTCAAAGTCATCGCGAAGCCATGGCAGTCGGTTCCACTCATTACGGGCATTGTCTGCTCGTCTGTGTCGACGTAACTACGAAACGAGCGGTCACTGTCAATGTTACACCAAAATAGACGTCTGTCGCTGACAGATTTCAAGATGGCGCGTCGACAAGGAAGCTTGTGTTTATTTTAGTAATTCTAATAACGATTCGATTCATATGTGTTATTGTTTGCAATAAGTTTTTTTGGGTATTGTTTATTTAGCTTTTTAACGTTCAAATGATTTGACATTGATTATCGAAACTTAGAAACTTATATTATAAAGAGGGAATATTTGTTAGTTTGTATGTATGGGGTAATATTTGGAACCGCTGATCGGTTTTCGGAAATTCTTTCACTGATAGATAGCTACAGTGTTCCTGTGTGCTATAGGCTATAAAACATCACGCTTTAAGAAATAACCGCGCGAGAGCAGCTAGTGTTTTTATATTTGGATCGATTCTTTGTGTTTTTTATCGTCTTTATGGGGAAAAAACAATTGTTTACCATATATTTGTTTCATTTAAAAACTGACTGGCTATTAAATGAAATTTTTGATGTTTTCATACTGTCATCATTCGAAAATGAGAATACAAATATATAAATAACTTTTAACTCCGTTTTTAACCTGATCCGTTAGAAACAGCTATCCACATATTTATTCAATGTCCTCACTTAAAATAATGGGTGTCCGTTATAGCGTCAAGGATTTGGCAGTGGACATAGTAGACAGTGGGTAGGATGGATCGCTTATGACGCCATTCCTGACCTCATACAGTTTGTCGAGCGTTGGTTACAATTATTGTGTCAAATTGATATAACGGATTTACGATATGATGAGGGTGGATGTTGCGATATAGAACAGCGCGTCAAGTTCCCTAAAATCGGCAAAGGAAGAGTGTCGTGTGGGATAGCCATTTTTCGGCACGAATGGAACTGCTTGAAAGAAATTGAAACGACTACAGCTTTATGTTTCGCTGTGTGAATGAAGTCCAATCCATACTCCGTACCCCGAAACCCTAATCCACAAAGATTGGTAATATACTCGTAACTCCTCCGTTGTCGCATGGACACCCTCCATAGGCGGCGCTGATTGCTTACTAGCAGGTAAACCGTCTGCTCGTTTGCAGGTACTAAAAGGTACTTTTGAAACTTCAAAAGAGAATAATAGACTATCAGTCTGTGCGTCAATGAAGCTTGGTGCTTGTTCCAAATTGTAGATTCGAGTGGAAAAGAATGAGAGAGAATCTCCATCGTTACGGACGTATAGGACGTGTGAAGTCAGTTATTTTTTCGATGAAGTTCTTTGTGCTTCACCAAAGACCTTCTTTGAATAGGTCAATACTGGTCTGGACCAGTATATTCTAATTTGATAGTTTACATTTTGAAAAGCAATCAGAAAGTTTAATTTGGTACCTATAACAAAATAAGTGTGGGAGAGCCAAGCTTCAGCACGAATGGCTCGGTTTGACCGGAATGAAACCTCGATCTCGAACCACAGCGTTGTGTTTCACCGTGGTTGTAAGTTAACCAAAGGTCCAATCCATCCCCTCAGATTGCCATATAGACATCGAAATAATCTGAATTCCAGATCTTACGTGCTGTTTCGACGCACATAGAAGATCGACGACGACAATAATCCACGGATGACGGCATAAATCCTACATCACGCAAATGATGTTTGCGCGCAATTAAACACTGATAGAAATTCCCAGGCATGATCACCTCACAATGACATGGCTGGAAGATCCTTCTTTACACATGTGAGGTAACCTTACCTCTCTGTCCCTAAAGTTATTATTCAATATGGCCATTTTTCATTATTTAAAATTTGAGTAAGATACAAAAATGCATATGTCCCTTTAAAAACAACCCACTAAAATAATCCAGTTGAAATTATAACAAATAGAATTGTCGACGGTTTCGCTTCAGATACAGCGTTGGTTGATTTCATAGACTATCCAGTACATATCGATCCGATAATATAAGTTACGGTTAACTGTGTAATTGGATCAAATAATCAATAATACGCCATCCCTCACAATCAAACGTGTCGATAACTTTTCTTTGGCACTTTATCAGAAGGAGAATTCATCGCTGTTTGTTTGATAGTTTCTAAAAACTAACAGAGATATTTTTTTGACAAAACTTTGCCAAAAACTAGGATTTTCTCCTGTGTCGTTGGTGCATTTGCAAACACACAATTTCACATACACATGACACCCAGACCCGAAACACCAATTTGTGGATCACACAAAGAGTAGTTCCGTGCGGAAAAAGAACCAGCGACACGAAGCTCGGCACCCGATTGCCCAGTCACCATGTCTACCGTGCAGTCTACATAACTTTTGTTTTCGGTCAAGATATCTTTTCTTTAGTCCTTTATATTTTTAGCAGAAGTCCGTCATGTTTTACAACTAATGATATAAACTAATTTTCAAGTCACATTTGTTCAAGTTACTTTTCCATCCTTTACTCGGCAATCGTTTTGGCGACTATTTGACGAAAGAGAAGGCAATAAAACTCTCTTCTTTCAGTTGACACCCTTGCAGTAACTGGGACGAAAACAACGTAAAACTAAAAAATATTATAGGTAACCTATGTACCGATCCCATTATTATAATTATGCCCACTGGAATCCAAATACCAGAATGATCAAAGTTATTGTCAAAACGTTTACTGCAAACTAAGTGTAGGTACAATGTTGGTGTAACCGTTATGGTAAAGCACTTCCGCCAATTCGAGACACCGAAAGTCCAATCCTAATCCCAAAAGCCCCCAACTTTAAATACCCTATCCACAACAGGCCAGCAATTCATTGGTACCCAACTCCTTAAAGTAGGCGGCATCAGAAATTGATTATCATTAGGTAATCTCTAACTGCTCGCCTGAAGACCTATCCCATAAAAAAAGACAAGTAAAATCGAGTTGGTTACACTTATGTGAAATGTCGATATTTGCTTATTGACAAAACGCAAAAATTAAAAACATGGCTTCTAAGGCAACTCCTAGAGACTGTAAAGCCAGCTGCAGAATTGGTACAAAGGTCGGACCCAAGGTACCTGAAAGCTATTCCTAGATTTCCTGGAGGTATTTGGAAGTTAGTTTGTTTCAATTCAATTCAGCAATTAGCTAAAATTGGGTCTGAGAGAAATAATTTATTTACTTAATACCTAGCGAGTTTCTTAGTATCTATGGTAAAATTTTGATATGTAATGTTAAAATGTTAAAAAGTATTCATAAAATATAAATGTGGAAGAGCCATGCTTCGGCAAGAATTGGTCGGCTTGACTGGAGTGATATCACGGCTTTATAGTCAGTACCCGGCGTAAAACAACCAAAACATTATGTTTCGCCGTACTGGAAGTGAGGTCAACGGAGACCCACAATACTTTTCCTCTTCCCATTTCTTCCCAATATCCCCTAAATCTCTGAATCCCATAACGGCCGGCAACGCCCTTCTCTGGTGTTGCGGATGTCCATGGGCGGTGCCGCTTGCTTACCGTTAGGTAATCCGCCGGCTCGTTTGTCGACCATGACTTAAAACGACGTTGCTGTACGCGTGTTCTTATAAACAAATTAATGTTCCAGGCCCCTATCATCGATACATCAAAGAAACCAATCATCTGGGTGCTGGGAGGTCCAGGGTCCGGCAAGGGCACACAGTGTGAGAAGATTATAGCCAAATATGGTTTCACACATCTTTCCACTGGAGATCTGCTGAGGGCTGAGGTCAAGAGTGGATCTGAAAGGGCAAAGACACTCACTGCTATTATGGAACAAGGTCAGATAGTGGATTGTTTAGAAGTTATTCTAAGTAACGAAACATGTGAAAGGCAAAGATTGTTTTTCAAATCAGGGCTAAAAATCTTCCTTGCAAAATTTTTTTTGTTCGTTTCATTGAAAGCGAAAGTTTGTGAGATAAAAAATAATTTGGTACCTATAGAGATAGATCATAGTCTGGAATAACACTTATGCAGCTTATTGTCTTAGTGCTGAGAATATGCCGATTGCAGAAAATAGTTAAGATACAAATTGCTAATATCATTAAATTAGGATAAAGAGAAGTAGATTTGATAATGCAAAATGCTTCTTCATTCTCTATTTACACAAAATCACCAAATCCAGACCAACAAGATATACCAAACCAAAGATAACCTAACTGCATCGAATTAATCCATATACCTTTCTAATATTTCCAGGTGGTCTGGTCCCCAACGACGTAGTGTTGGAGCTGCTGAAGGAGGCTATTGTCTCCCGTGCTGCTGACTCCAAGGGTTTCCTAGTCGACGGCTACCCTCGGGAGAAATCACAGGGTATCGCCTTCGAACAAGCCATTGCTCCTGTATCTGTAAGTGTCCCTTACCTTAACTCTCTTCTTTATCTGGTTACTAGTATTCCACAAACGGCTCCAATTAAATTGTTCCATTTTGAAATATTTGATGCCAGATGTATGGTGAGATTTTTGAAAGTTGCTGGAAAGTTATAAGCCCTGCGATGATAGCAGAGCGAAATAAATTCGTCTACAACCCTGATTGATAAAACAGAATGGTTAAAAATAAGATCTGCAATCCGCTCATCAAGTAGAACATGTCTATTTTTTTATGTGATAGATCGGCAAACGACCGGATAGATTAAGCAATCGGCGCCGCCCATTGACACCCCCTAACATCAGTTACGAGTGCGTTGCCGGACTTTTGAGGACTAGGGTTTGGATTTTTAGGAATAGGGGAAGGATTGGGTCTCCGGTAACCTCACTCACACAAAACAACGGTATTGTTGTTTCACGCCGTTTTCTGTAAGGCCGTTGTACCAATCTGGTCGAATCGACCCAGTTCCAAAGCTTGGCCATGGCTCTCCCACACTAAAATAGAGAATGCCTATAGTCCAACACGTCATGGACTGATAAAGACATAATGGAACTTTATGAGAAAACTATCTTCAAAGCATCGAAAATTTTATTCCAGGCGATTATCTACTTCGAAGCGTCGTCTGAGACACTGACTAAAAGGCTGCTTGGCCGTGCCGCCAGTTCAGGAAGAGCTGATGACAACGAGGAGACCATTAAACTGCGCCTGAAAACCTTCCTCGACAACAACCAGCAAGTCCTAGACCAGTACCCCGACAAGATCAGCAGGGTGCGTAGCAATTTAATCATTATTATCACTAAACAAAATTCATACTTTTGGCTTTTCAAAGTCTAGATAAACCACAAATCTGTATCCTCTAAAATTGTTTACCAATTATGAAAAGTGCAACCGAAGATTTGAAAAGGTGATTTGTTGCGTAATACAATTACTATTGTCTAATTACTACAATAAATTGTTTGTGGCAGCTGGCAGAAAGAATAGACTTTTTGAAGCGCGAGCGTCGCTTTTATTCGTTCAGTGTTGCCACTGACAAGTGTTTCATAGTAATACTTCTAATATTTAGTATTTTTATTTTACTTTTTCCCTTTTATTTTAATCATAGGTAGTTTGTTTTTTGTTTTATAGTAGGATACTAATCCAACAATTATATTATATGAAACACATTTTTGTATTTAACTTAGCTTAAGTTTCTGCACTGATTGGCGTCATGCGTTGGTGTCGGCCATCGCTGAAAATCAGCGCCGCGACACTGTCTCGTATGGGGTCGCTGCATAATGCTGAGCGAGGGCCATTTCGCGAGCTTGGACGCATATTTTTCTCCTACCCTCTACTTTTGTTATATTGTAGTATAATTCTTAATGTATTTTTTTTTACCTTTGTTTTTATTATTGTTCGTTTTCTGTCTTTTATGCGTCCCAGACGCGAATAAATACTTTTTGTTTGTTTGTTTGTTGCCATATCAAGGCAGGATAAAAGTAAGATTTAAAAAGTTTCATAGATATACCAAGAGTTTTATTGGCAACAAAGAATTTACTTAGCCTTTTGTTTTAAATTATTCTTTACCTTGTAAAACGGTAATCAAGACTACTTAGAGATCATACTCAGGAGTCTATACTCACGCGATTACACACGCAACCCGGAAAAATATTTTTAAATCTACAGTAGCTTAAACCCCTTTAAAAATAAAATACTGTAAATATAAAACAATATTCTTTGTTCAAATTCCAGATAAACGCCGAAGCCTCAGTGGACGCCATCTTTGATGAAGTCCAGAAGATCTTGGACCCTCTTGTAGCTGCTTGAGCGCACAACTCAATATTTTATACACTCTTGTAAATACACCTCTACTTTATATTAATTTTAAATATTTAAATGATCGTTAATTAAATCATGTTTTTATTTTAATTGTGTTTCTTTTCTGAAACCTTAGAATAATTATTTTTTTAAGTCTGAAACTACAAACAGGCGTTAGGCGGATTTTTCTTTATCCTAAAACTTATAAAAAATTCAAGACTGTCATTTTTGTCATCATCCCATCAGCTACAACTAAACGTCCACTACGGAACATTGGCTAATAACATAATAACTAAGTAACAGGTAAATAAGAAGCAATCACAGTACAATGATCATTATGAATAATCCATTATGAATTGTGAAATTGTGAAGTTAAGGATACTCCCAGTAGTGACATAGGTAAATTTTTCCAAGTTCTCGCTCTATCACGTTTCCTGTAGGACTCCGCTTAACAAATGGGCCCTCGTCTTACGCAAAAGACTGTCGTTTCTATAAAACCAAAAACGAAAAAACGAGCAAAAACTGTCTTCTACGGTCTTCTATGATCCGTGACATAAAAAAATCAATCATGTCAATTTGTCACACTATTTGTCAAAAACAACTCGACAATAAAATGGCAGGGTTAAAATAACCACGTAAAATGTAAAAAAATCTGGCTTCACAATTCTAAAGAGCTTCTAGCATTCCCTCCTCCTTGAATTGATCTAAAAGCACCAAATATGGAGAATAATAAGAAACTTCCCATTGACCAGAAATTCTGCGATGGATGTGAGGAGCCAGAAATTGAGAAGGTTCCACCATGTCCATTACAATGCCGATCTAGGCAGTGCAAGGCCTATCAGACCAAGGTTTGTAGGACTACAAATGATCCATTTGAACTCCGTCTTAGTTTCTATCACGCCTGGTGGTAAGCTATGATGCGACCTACGATGGAGCACGCCTATCCATAAGCAAACTATTTACTCGGACCCCGAAGACACCCAGGTGATATACCCAAATTTCTCTTGAGATCTAACTAGCCTTTTACTTTTAAACTGAAAAAATCCTGATAAAACGCGACTAATGTAGCTAATGTGTTCTTAATAAGAATTTGATTTTTATTATGGTTGTAACTTGAAAGGTTTATTTATTACTTAATAACATATTTTTACTTGTAACATTTACAAAATCTATTTATCAGATATTGTATTAGTCCTAAATATAGCATCATTTCAAAAACATAAATTTTCTTTTCCTCAGTCCAAATTTGACCCTGAAACTAAGCCTATAGTATGGGTACTGGGTGGGCCAGGATCTGGCAAGTTTACCCAATGTACCAAGGTGGAGAAAACATATGGATTCACCCACTTGTCCACCGGAGATCTAATGAGAGAAGAAGAGAAGGCTCGAACTCCGAGAGCCAAGTGCCTGGGCTCTATTATGGCACGAGGTACAGTTTTATGGTTATATGACTATAGATACTGTCTTCCACACGCGGCTTCACGCGCATGGTTTGTTGATAACAATCAGCCCATGTATTAATTAATGATTGATGTGATTAAAACATAGACTGATTACCTATTTACATACTAAATTGGTCCAGTAGTTTTTGCGTGAAAGAAAAATAAACACAAATAAATAACTAAAAAGTTTATTGCTTCCACTTAAATAGTGTTAAATAATCTAGTTACAATGAAGAGGATCCTTTAAGCGGAGATTGCTTGTGTTAGGATGCTCCGCCCTTCCCCAGATTATTCATCTATTATAAATTCAATAATTCTCACGAACTTTCACATTTAAAAATATTGGAAGGTTGGAATGCTCTACGAAGTCCCTCTTTCTTGAATTCTGTGGTCAAGGGATGTTGTTTACTGTCCTCCCACTTTAGTACTTCACGGACTTCGAAACTTGAATCTTTGAAAGCCCTCGCTGAATATCCTAACCCACGAGTCCGTCAGTCTCGTAAACTCCTTCACATTATGCAGTCAGATTAGAATTGGTGGTTAGAATTGGTCTAACCATAAGGCTAAGCTATGCCTCATTCTTGAAAAGATCTCTAGTTCTACATCTGCTGATATCTGGAAATTCCTTAAAATTTTAGACATCGGTCGGTAAGGTAATCCAGTCCAAAGCAAGTCTGCTTTAACTTACAACTGCGTGTTATTTCGCCGAGTGCAATGAGATTAGCCCAACCTCCCAATTCTTCCAATCCTCCTCATCTAACTAATAGCCCCAACACATGCAACTCCCCTAGTGCTGCAGATTTTGCTCATTAGTCAAGAAGTTGCGAATTTGTTTACTGAGCACATTATCAGCCTTTAAGTGCCCACTGGAACTAACCTCTCACACGGAGAAGGTTTGAGCATTAGCCACCATGCTTGTTCAAGGAGGATAGTTATGAGTCCAGGCTTTCCCACGACTTTTTTCTTCGTCGTATGTTAGTCTAAATAATCATAATAATTCGGAAAAGTCACATTGGTACTTGCCAGGTTTCGAAATCTCATGCATGAGGACTCTTTAACCACTGGGCCACCGCGACATTTAACGAAGTTTATCGACAAGTGTTTTGGATAATTATATTTTATTACCACATAATGTTGTGCCGTTGACACGAATCAACAAAATATTGCAATAAAAACAAATCTATGAAGTGGCTTATTTCCTTAGGTGGCTTAGCACCCAACGACGTAGTTCTGGCTGTACTGAAGGACGCCATGGAAGAAGCTGCTAAGAAAGGAACACACGGCTACCTAATTGATGGGTATCCACGCGAGAAATCTCAAGGTGAAGAGTTTGAGAGGACTATTGGACCGGTTGCTGTAAGTGACATGATTTGATTACCTACAATGCTAAAGATTGGGTCAATTCATTCGGATAGTTTTTACGGTATTTGATTGATTCCCGGACGCAATAAGCTCGCGCCTAATATAGTAGGTGAATTAGTTACTAGCTGATTTAAAAATGAAGTGACTTTACAAGGGAGGAGAAGAGAAGCTGTAACATTTCCTTCTCTTAATAAGCAACACCTCACAAGTTGTAAGTGCCTTTACCAAATCAGCGTGCATACCTTTGTTGGATATTTTATTATACAGGTCTACTTAATATATACAGGTCTTACTTCGAGATTCGCCATTTTCATCTTGCCGCTCCGACTGCCGTTTTTCACATGGAAGTAGCTCCTCCAAATTACGTCCTAATTGTAAAATTTTTTAGCTGAAATGTAGTGAAGAACCGAAGAACAAGAAAAGTTTTTTTTTTCGATTTATATTTTTATTACAAATTTCCGTTTATCATTACTTTTTGATCACTCATTGTAATTTTCCTTTTTCCTAGCTAATATTGTATTTTGAGGCTTCACCCCACACCTTGTGCCAACGGCTACTAGGGCGTGCAGAAGCATCAAAAGAAGATAGCAGAAGGAAAGATGATAAATACAGCGTCATGAAATTGCGCATAGCAACCTTCATCGAGAATAACAAGGGCATCTTAGAGCGCTATGGCAACAAAGTTAAAAGGGTACAGCCATTTATTACTCTTTTTTAATTGCACTAGATACTTACAGATTATTAGTTCTTTTACCTCTAGATATGGCCAAATATATTGAAATCAGTTTATACAGCTACACATAATTATGTGTCTTTGTCGTGACTTGAAACTAGTCGAGTAGAATTCGTTAGGTGCTAGCTAACCCCTCAAACTCCTTACCGCCACAAAATAAACGAACACTTCTAATAAAAACATTTATTTGTCCGATATGATATATCTAATGGCACCTCTTACTTAAAAAATGAACAATTTTAATAGATATCTATATTATCTATATTTTTAGCAATTTCTTCAACAAAATTAAACCAAACAGAATTGAATACATTTTACTACATATAAGTATTTATTTACAGATCGATGCGGAACAATCGCCCGATGAAATTTTTGCCGAAGTGCAGACATATTTAGAGCCGATAGTAGCACAAGCAGCTCTGATTGAAGCTGAAAAAATAGAAGCTGAAGCGGAGGAAAAGATGAAAGTTGTGAGAGCGTTTACACGTTCTTCAATATCTGTTGCTCGGTACTCAAGGTCTAAAAGTGCGGACGTCGACACTAAACTTTTAGCAGCTGCGGCCGAAGCTGCTGCTGCCGAAGCTAGGGCGACAGCTGCTCGTAACGCTGCCGAAGCTGCCAGGGCTAGATTGGAGGAATTGGAAGAACGCAACCGCAACAACAAAAAATAATACCTTCTTGGAATAGCGAGACATTTAAATAAACGAAAATTTGTATTAACGACATTTATACAAGCGAAATGTATAAACGCCTCACTGGAAGTGATCCTTGATGAAGTTTGCAAGATCTTTAACCACCTTGTAACTGGAACGCATAAAACAATATTTTAAACATACATACACCTATACTTTACAGTTTTTTTAAATGTTTAAATGATCATTAATTAAATCATGTTTTTATTTTGTGTTTTTTTTCTTAATCTCCTTAAAGAGAAAAGGAGGATTTCTCTTTATCCTAGAACATAAAGACTTAAAGACCGTCATCGTTGTCATCATCAACTTAGCTACAACTAAACGTTCACTTCGGAACATTGGCGTAACTAACTTTCAAATCAGCAGGGAGCAACCACATAATTATGATCAGAATCATCCATGTTTTACCTGCTCAACTAGGTGGAATCGGTTAAATTCAGGATACTCCCAGTAATGACATGTGCTCGTAAGTATATGTCGCTAGGTTCTCGTTCTATCAAATATTTCCTGTAGGATTCCGCTTAACAAAGCCATCTTACATATGCAAAACACTATCGTTTTCAAGCACATTCAAGTATAAAACCAAAAACGAAAAAACGAGCAGGAACTCTGTCTTGTATGATGCGTGTCATAACAGAAACCAGAGCGTAAAAAAAACTCAATTATTTCAATTTGTCAAAAATAACTCAACAATCAACAATATAATGACAGTGTTAAAATAATTACATAAAAATGCAAAAAAATCTGGTATCACTTTACAATTCTGAAGGGCTTCTAGCATTAATCTAGAAGCTCCAAATATGGAGCATAATGAAAAATCTCCTATTGATCAGAAATCGTGTGATGAATGTGAGGAGCCAGAAATTGACAAGGAGCCACCATGTCCATCACAATGCCCAGATAGGCAGTGCAAGGCCTATCAGACCAAGGTTTGTAGGAGTACGAATGTATGAACGGTACAGTGTTCAAGATTGATATTTTTTAAGTCGTATTGGGCCTGCCCGGTTTTCCTCTATCAGCTCTGGTGGTAAGCAATGATGCGACCTACGATGGAGCACGCCTATCCATAAGCAACCTATTAACTCAGGCCTTGAAGACACCCAGGTAGATTTCATTAGCCTTTTATAGAACTGAAAAAGGAAATACTGGATTACTGTAGCTAATTCGTTCTTAATATTTTAACTATTTATTATGTTTGGAGTTTGAAAAGAGGTTAAAAAATCTATTTGTGAGAAATTCTATTATCTAAACATATTATCATTGTCCAATTATGTAAATAAGACATGTCACATGAGTTTCAAAAATTTTATTTTATTTTTCCAATCTTCAGTCCAAATTTGACCCTGAAACTAAGCCAATAGTATGGATAATAGGTGGGCCAGGATCTGGCAAGTTCACCCAATGTGCCAAGATGGTGGAAACATATGGATTCACCCACTTGTCCACCGGAGATCTGATTAGAGAAGAAGTGAAGGCTGGAACTCCAAGAGCCAAGTGCCTGGGCTCTATTGTGGAGCGAGGTAAAGTTTTAAGATTATATATGATTGTTTGGCTGTTTGGCTGCACGTCTCATCTCAGCTGTTACGTTCATCATGCCGCACTAGATTTTTATCACCAAGACTTGAGCTTCCTACAATATTCTAAAACCACCTAGAGTTTTGTACCGACAATTTTTTGCGAGAATTAATTAGCAAATTAAAAAAAATATGGGTCATTGATTAACTGGTCGTATTGTTTAGCTCCGTTGTTAACATCAGGCGATAATGCAGAACCCAATAATTATTGACCGGTCTCTATTCAACCAGTGCTTAGTAGTGTTTGAAAAACTGATGTTTTCTCAGATGCTATGACATTTTAACATGAATTCCATCTTTCAATACCAACCAACAATACGAATTGACCAAGAGACGATACAACACTACCTCTATTTAAGCAGATTTTCGCCCCGTGGGAGAAGTCTCAGGACGCTAATAGAATATTTTGTGATCTGTCGAAGGCTTCCAATTCCATTGAACACGAGACGCTAAAGTTGGACCGTTACGGCATTTGATTTCAGCACATGCAGCTCAAAATACAAGTAAATAAAGTGAACTCACTGGATGCTAGCATATATATGGGCGTACCACATGGCTCAATATTAGGTCCTTACCTCTTTTTGATCAATATAAATGACTTACCCCATTTATTTCAACGTGAACCAGGTATTGTATTATTTCCTGATGACACATCGTAAATGATGAATAATGATGAGGATAAGGACGCTTGAAGACTGGCTGGTCCTGCTCCACAGAACATAATACACGATATAAGTGTGGCAGAGCCATGCTTCGGCACGAATTGGTCGGCTCGACCGTAGTGATAACATGGGCTTACAGAAAACCGGCGTAAAACAACCTCAGCGTTGTGTTTCGCCGTGTGAGTGAGGTTTCCAGAGGAATCCAAATCCAATATGGTTGAGTTGGGCGATGCTCGAGTACATGTCATGTTCGTTCACGGGCGCCCTCAATTGGGACTGGTCAGCTCCGGACTGTTTATTTTCCTTAAGGTTATGTTCTTTTTTTATAAATATAAGTGTTATATTGTTCTCACATATTTGAACCGGAGCTTTATTTGACGTTCAAAAGTGCCTGTAAGGATCTAATTTAAATAAATGATTTTGTCTTTCACCGGTAATTTCTAATGCAGGCGACTAGAGTCCGTGAGAAAGTTGTAATTTGGTATACTAAGGTATCTATCTTGCATAGAGACCCAGCTTCCATCAGGAAAGTCAGAATAATGCGGCTACCTACTCCGTGGATGACGCAAGGGACTAGGATGGCAGTGCGATGCCGATGCTTTGCCTAAGCCTTCCTAAGTTGCATGCTTAGACAACCTCAACACCTATTTCTCCAGTCTCTCTTCGGCATCGTCTAGTCAACCAACATCTCTCATACTTTTCTTATTGTGCAGTTCGGTCATCGGAGGTCGGTAAGATAATCCTAACTAACAAGTTGAAAGCGGTAGGTAAGTTGTGAAAACTTGTTCGTCCTCTTCCGAAAATCTCTACTCTAGCCACATATTTTTAGTTTGGCCGAGTGCAATGAGATTACCGGAGGCCCAAACCTCCCCACCACCCATTCCTCCAATCCTTAACATCTAACTAACAGCCCCAAAACTTGCATCTTCTCTAGTACTGCAAATTTTGCTCATTCGTTTAGAAGTTGCAATTGCGAATTTGTTTACCGAGCACATCATCACATCACATCACATCATCAGCTTTTAAGTGCCAACTACTAAACAAAGGCCTCTTCTCACACGGAGAAGGTTTGAGCATTAATCACTACGCTTGCTAAAGGCGGATTGTTATTAAGTCCAGGTTTTCTCACGATTTTTTCCTTCATCGTATGTCAGTGATGTCTAAATAATCATAGATTGATATTTATCGATAGTATCGATAGATCATAATTATGTAACGGAACAAGTCACATTGTTACTTGCCAGGTTTAGAACCCTCATGCATGAGAAACGGGCGCCTTAACCAGTTGGTCACCGCGACCTCTAAGGAAGTTTATCGAGCAGTTTGTTGGATAACTATATTTTATTACCACAAAACATTGTGCCCAGTTGTCATGAATCAATAAAACAATTTAATAAAAAAAAGTTTCCTATGAAGTAGCGTGTTTCCATAGGTGGCCTAGTACCCAACGACGTAGTTCTGGCTATACTGAAGGACGCCATGGAAGAAGCTGCTAAAAAAGGAACACACGGCTACCTAATTGATGGGTACCCGCGCGAGAAATCTCAAGGTGAAGAGTTTGAGAGGACTATTGGACCGGTTACTGTAAGTACAATGCTATAGATTGGGTCAGTTCATTCGGATAGTTTTTGCGGTAGTAGACTGAATCCCGGTCGCAATAAACTCTCCCCTAAAATAATAGGCCAAACTTTAAAAACGAAGAGATACAGAAGCTGTAACATTTACCTGTCGTAATAGGCAATTTCAATCTCTCTTTTAATTTACATCCCTCTTTTAATTTTTTTCTTTTTTTCCCAGCTGATATTGTATTTAGAGGCTTCACCCCGCATCTTATGCTGCCGGCTACTAGGCCGTGCAGAAGCATCAACAGAAGATAACAGAAGATTAGATGATAAATACAGCGTCATCAAATTGCGCATAGCAACCTTCATCGAGAATAACCAGGGCATCTTAGAGCGCTATGGCAACAAAGTTAAAAGGGTACAGCCATTTATTATACTTTTTTAATTGAACTATATAATTTGTCGTGACTTGAAACTAGTCGAGTAGATTTTATAGGTCTCCGAATTAGTTACTAGCTGACTGTCAAACAGACCGTCACGAAATGAACTAATACTTTGAATAATAACATTTATTTGTTCGCTAGATATGGCAATTGGCATAATGGCACATTTTTATAGGAGTTTGTAATGGTACCTAATTACCTATACATATATTTATAAAATCACCAATTTCAATATATTCTTATAGCAATTTTTTAAGCAAATATGAACCAAACAGAATTGAATTCATTTCTATAAAATTTCAGATCAATGCGGAACAATCTCCAGATGATATTTTTTTAGAAGTGCGGACATACTTAGAGCCAGTTGTAGCACAAGCAGCTCTGATGGAAGCTGAGAAAAAACAAGCGGAAGCTGAGGAAAAGATGAAAGCTGTGGGAGCCTTGCCACGTTCTTCAATGCCCTTAGCTCGTTTTTTTAGGCCCAAAAGTGTAGATGTCGACAGTAAACGTTTAGCAGCTGTGGCCGAAGTTGCTGATGCCGAAGCTAGGGTCACAGCTGCTCGTAACGCTGCCGAAGCTGCCAGGGCTAGATTGGAGGAATTTGAAGAACGCAATAGCAAAAACCATAAATAACATCTTCCTGAAATAAGTGGGACCTTTCACACTGAATAATATGTTGCTGGTTGCTTACAATCTGGTGATTCCATGAGCTCGTTTGTCTGCAATTCTATATAAGATCGCGGAAATAGGAAGCCTGGCTGACGAAACGCAGGCTCAAGGTTGCAAGAAACTTTTATGAAAGCAAGACCAAAGAGGACATCAGCGTCCAGGAAATTCGAAATATCACGAAATAATGACAGCCGCAGTTTTAGTTTAGCACTGGTGCACCATCGAAACAATCGTCAAAATGGCTCATCTTTTTTGCCACTCAACCCAATAAAATAATGACTATCAAATTAATTTCAGATTTTTAATTTTCAAATGAGTAACACAACTTACGAATAACATTTTATTAACGATTCACTTTTAACAAATCATTTATTATCTTATTCTATAGACCCTATTTCATCAATACACTATTCTTTAAACACGAAATACTTAACACTAGGCTCAATTTGGTCGCCATTAACCATTGATTGAGCAGGTGGTTGTAACTCTACGGTGTCAACAAATAGGGCTTTAATAGGAATGGTTTTCACAATATTCTAAACAACAAAATTATTAAATAATTCGCTTAACTTCTAGTTCAACTTAACTAAGGCTTTAACAAAAACATCTCTTACACGACAAAGAAAACTGGTTATGGAAAATTATTGTGAGATTCACAATTTCTTATGGTACTTTTCGTATTAAAAACATTTACGGCCTTATTACAAACAAGGCTTTTCTTTAGTAATAGGTCTTAAACAATTGTGTCAGTTCTTTTTTGTCAATTGAAGGTATAGTTCATTCCATAATTAGAGACAACAATTTGACAACAGCAAATGTCAAACTACAAAATAATGTGGCCAGATTTTTTAACATAGTGATGGACCCGAGTACGATGTTTTAAAATACCGATACCGTTTTTTTATAAATTACCCTGAACAAAACAAAAAAAGTTGCGGAGATGTTTTTATAGCATAATTGTACCTAGTAATAAATATATGAAGCTAAAAAAGGACTTAAAGATTATTACAAATTAAATGAACTCGGAGCAATATGAAGAGATCAGAGATCGGATGGGAGCGATATTACAATCTGACTGACAGATATTATACTTATAATTATAGAAACCAATACCAACGTATTTCTAGGCTTAAATTATGTTTGACATTCCATCTGTCAAATTGCTGTGAGGAAATACCAAAGCTGACCATATTTTCTTGTAAAATAATGATATCATATCAATGCTAATAGTTAATAGTTTTACAAATGACTTTCGGTCTTTCGGTTAATACCGGTCGCGGGACTTCACTATTTATGAAATGGAAAAAACATGCAACACTCAAAATGTCAAATCTTTGTCTCTAATTATGGAACGAACTATAGTTGAGAATAAGAATCTAAATACAAAACCTGACACAATGGTTTAGATCTAGACTGAAGATAAATCTTGTTTTGTAATACCTAAGGGGGCAATGGTATACCTAAGTCATTTGATCTTAACATTTTTAAGTGGCATTATACGAATTTATTTATTTATTTTTCATGTTCCTTAATGGGCGGGACTGGTCAACTCGACACTGAATATTTGTCCTTGATGTATTATTTTTCCGATGCGTTGACTGGATATAAGTGTTACACAGACACTGTTCCCAGATAAAAGAACTGACTAAATGATGTCACAAAAATGAATTGTAAAATTGATTAAAAATGGAAACATGGAGTAGTTTCTTGTTCGTTTTTTTTCCACTTATCTCGCCTCATCCTGGGCGAGAGAAATCATTTGATGTTTTCCCCCCTCCCAAAAAACATTAACGACACGTTAAAGACACGCCAATGCTCTTGAAACCCATCTGATAGCTACCTCAGCAATGTATAACACTATATGTTTGAACCTAGGACCAGTTACCGTAATAATGATTTTACTTATAATATAAATGAAAAAAATAGTTGTTCAAGCAGTTTTAAACTGGGAGCAATGCCTCCTCTTGCTCCTTCTCCCTCTGGCGCACTGCCACTGCCGTCTCCACCAGGAGGTACAGGCACTTGAACTTGTCCTGGTCAACCTCCAGCCTCGGCACCACCTGCAGTTACGGCCCTCGTCAAATGAACAAGCTAAATAAACTATTAGCCGTTTGGCCGTTGTGATTTCCACAACTACATATAAAAGTAAACACAAAATAACTTTTTGAAATAATAACTTCAGGTGATGCCGGCATTAAAACACCCCGCGCCCATAATATCTTACACACTTCAACTACTTGAATGAAAATCAAAGCGTTTAGTATAAAATTTTATTTACACAACAAACAGAAACTCGTCTCTAGGCTAAAAACAAAACAAAAATACTAACATAAGTTCTCTTAACTTTATTATAAGGAACACTTGATTTTAAAGGGAACTAGTGTTTTAACACCGACCTCTCCTACGTATGTACAAAAACATGGATCAATCTAAAGCGAGGGCTACAGCGTCCGCGCAGCCAAATTATATAATTAAAATCTCCAAACATATTTTATTTTTAAACAAAGAGGCAAAGAAATTCAAAATCAAATTTTCGGTAAATGAATCTTCCTTGTCTGAGTAGAATTGCAAGAATAAGGTGCAGTAGGTACAAGTGGTGCGATCGTGGCGGCAGAGTCTAGGTGTGGCACCACATGTCGGTGGTGGCTACTTCGAGCTCGACGGCGACGGGCGGCGGGGGCTGCGGGGGCGGGCTCACCTGCATGCGGCGCGCGCGCAGCGGGTGCGGCAGCTGCGGCAGGTGCGCCAGCTGCGGGTGCGCCAGCGTCTGCCACCCGTCCTCACTGCTCGACACCGGCTCCGGGCCCTGCTCCGCCATCTCCTCCGACGTCGACACTGTCACCATCGATGCCGTACTGCTGTAGTAGGAAAACATGGCGTGAAGATGCACACGGTTGGTGGGCACATCAGATAATACAGAATCTTTTCGAGTAGACTCAAATTTTATTTAAAAAAAAAGTCTTTCAAAAGACATTAGCTACTTTTAGAGAATTGATAGTGTATTGTACCAGCATTCGACAATAGCCCTTGCTGCTCTGGAGCAGAACTGCTCTGAGTCAATGTCCCTCGGCTCGTTGGTTTGTTCTACCTGTGCTGTGGCTACTGAAACGACTGATGCTCTGCTGTGGGAAGGAAAGTATTCCTCGCTGTGACTTACACATAAGTCTGCTCTATGTCATAATATCTTACAATTCAAAGCTGACACATCAACCAGTATACGTGGGACTAAACAAGACAACTAGCTATGAGTCCTAAACAATATTAAAGCGATTTGACAAAATAACATTCCAGACTCACTCCCTAGCTGCTGGGTGCAGGTCGTGGTCTTCTGGTCCATACCGTATGACGGACTGCCAGACGGAGGGATCGTATTTGACCTCCTCCTCGCTGATAGTGCTGGAGTAGCCCTCCTCTCCATCTCCGAGCTCGTCACCGTCGCTGCGGTAGACCAGCAAGCCATCTCCATAGTCATGAGCTCGGCTGTCTGGTCCATTCTGTAAGTACTTACTTTGGTTAGCTTAAAGACCGTTTATCACGGGTCGTTTAAGTTAACGACAACTTGAAACAAACCTCCACAACAATCCCATCCCATGCTGCTACTGTGACACTGTCTCCAGGTGCGACACCAAGCCCTGATGTAGAAGCTCCGCCTAATCCCACCATGGGGCCCACTCCTGCCATTGCGCCTGGCTGCTTCCTGCCGCGCCTTGATATGGTGTAGTGGAGAGGATCATGACCTTCGCGTCTTATCATCTCAGGGAGAATGCGACGACGGGCATTTATAAACCAGTTGCAGACCTAAATAAAGAATTACATTTAAAGACTTTACGGAGAACAAATTATTCATTTGTTCTGTATATAAAATTTCCTTTTAAATAACAGTGTTTATTGGTAGCAATTTGTCTTTTATTATCATATATCATCGTAAATTTGTGCTGTTGGGTCGCACATCATCACATCATCAGCCTATAAATGCTCACTGCTGAACAAAGTCCTTTTCTCATACGAAGCAGATTTAAGCATTAAACCACTCTTACTCAAGGCTGACCAAAGTCCAGATTTCCTCTAGGTATTTTAGGATTTTTGCCATTATTGTTGGTCAATAATATCTAAATAAACTTAGATAGTACAATTTCACATTGGTACTTCCAAGTAGCAAGGTTTCGAACCTGCTTCCTCATGCATGACAAGCCGTAACCTCCGAGCCACCAAGACAACTTCCAAACAAAAATGCCTTTTTGGCATGGGTCATGGTATAAAAGGGTTATATTTTGCTTTTCCATGCCATTCCATGAAAGCATGCTATATAATCTGTCCCTCTCACCTGCAACACAGTAAGATTAGCCTCCTGACTCAGTGCTAGTTTCTCAGCGTCGCTGGGGTAAGCATTATAACGATGGTCATACAACCATCTCTTCAAAATCTTCACAGAGTGCTTCGGTAGGTTGCCACGGCGCTTGCGCACGGAGCCGACTATCACCGCCTGATAATTTGAAAATCGAAGAACGTAAAAAAAAATTCTAAGACTTTTGAAAAGTGTTACAGGCGAATGATGACGATATAACGTTATTGCTACCTGTGGGGTTTTTTTGAGGGGAAAATCATCAAATCACTTCTCCCGCCCAGGGTCGGGCTGGGGGGGAGTGTCAGACTCTTATTGACTAAAAACCCCCGTTCCTTCTCCTGTACTGGGCCGGGGTCGCTGTGCCTCATTGCGCTTACGCCGCAACCCTGGCTGAAAATAAGCCCTATAGGGCCCCGTCTGATTACCTGTGGGGGTGGAGGGTGTCGTTGGTGGGTCATAGCGAGGTGCCGGCTGTCCGTGTTCCAGTCTGTGCTCTCCATTCTCTGCAACAAAAATAAACTTGATAAATCTTTTACCTCTTTTATCGTAAATAACATTTTTGTTTCATTGTAAATCTTTCAGATATTTTGGTCCGAAATAAATATAAAGACACAGACCGTTACCACTATTATTTAATATGATTTAAAAAAAAAAGTCTCGTATTCAAGAATCCGTACTAACCGATCCTTCAAGAGATCCTCGCGAATTTCCTTAGTTCACCATGATTATGCATACCAATTTTTATTCTAAGTGGGTACCTAAATACTACACACGATTTCGAAGTGTCAGCCTTATTGACTAAAATCCACCCCGTCCTGACTCCTGCTTCAGATCGAGGCCAGGGTACATTGCGCTTAACCCGCAACGCCAAGCAAAATTTTGATGTTTTATTTGTATTGAATAGACTCCGAAACGACTTGATCGATTTGAAAAAATCTTTCACTATACGAAAGCTACACTATGCCCCGTGAACATCCAACTAATATAAATGCGAAAGTAACTCTGTGTATCTTTTCTTCACGCCTAAACTAATGAACCGATTTCTATAAAATTTGGTACAGACATAGTTTGGAACTTGAGAAAAGACATATCATATTTTTATACCAAACATCTGCAGGAAGTTACTATTCCACGCGAACAGAGTCGCGGGCAAAAGCTAGTAAGCTATAACCTAAGCGGGCGAAACCGCGGAGCGCCTAGTTATTAGTAAAAAGAAAGAAGATAGGATTTATAAACGTAGCCATACATATATTTTCTCCTGTATCGTGGATGCGATTACAAAGACAACTACTAATCGGGCATGGAACTAGCGACTGTGCTAAAAGTCGCAGAGGGAAGTTTAGCCAAACGATACCTGAGGTGGTGGAGGGTGGCGGGGGTGAGTCATGGCAGGATGGCGACCCTCCGCGTCCCAATCCGTGCCGCTCTCGTTATCCTCCGTCGAAGAAGTCGACGGGAAACGGTCTCGCGCTGGAGAGAATTCAAAATAAGTAACAATACGATATTTCTTAATCACAAGTCACAACGGGACGCATATGCATGAGTAGCGTGCGCGACTCCGCCTCTCACAACGAGCTCTCCACGTGAGTAGGTTAGTACATAGTTATATTTAATAAAACAAAAAGTTTTTATTTCTTTTTTCTTGATGGATGAGATTGCTTTATTTATAGTGATGAGACCCACTATTTCTATCTAATCGTATGGGTACTAATGAATAGCTAAAACTTTGTTTTTTTGCTAGAACGCGCTAATCTCTGGAGCTACTGGTTCGAATTAAACAATTTTTTTTTTTTTTTTGTTTAGTTTAATTATTATTCCGTGGTATGATGTAGGTTATAATACTCTACGACCAATTACGATCAATAGGAAACGGCCAGAAGATGGAACCGCGCGCGTGTCCGTTCAATTTTTTATGGATTACAATTAAAAAAATAATGATTTTATTTGTTCATATTAATTTTCGGTACGTAAAATTTAGAAATTGGTTTCATTTAAGTTTTATTTAAATTACAACAAATTAATAGATGATAAACGTCCAGTTAAACAATTGTTAATTTTTCAAAATGGCTGCAATGTTTAAACTAAAAAAATAAATTAAACCAAAGTACCTACGCCGTTCGCTTTTTGGAAACTTAAAACATGAAGTTTATTGATTCATTTAATTGACGAATTATTGTAAATGAATTTGCCAGTAACATTTAATTTAGTTTCAGTTAGAAACATGACGGTAGGTGGAAAAGTTTATACAGATAAGTTACCTACATACATTCGGGTCTTTCTAACAGACAGGGCCTGTTAAGGGGGTGTAAAACATTGTGTATCCAATACTTACGCAATTTGATCTTCATAACTTTGATCACGGACCTAGGCAGCGTGGCGACTTTACCAAGTAATCAACAACGTGCAATTCCCGCCACCAAACTTCACGCTTTTGACATTAGCTGCCAATTAATTATGATATTTACAATTGACATCACAGAAGTATCTTGTGAAAAATTGGTGATGAAATATACAAAAATGAATATACGATGGTTAGCCAAAGGCCGCTCTGTGGGGAATGAATGCGTTTTATTTATGTTTTGTTTTGAAAATCGATGCGCTTTTGTGACAATTGACAACGACATGCACTGTCACTTGTCATTTTGATTAAATTTTTGAAATCAAGAATTTATTAGCGACCAGTAGGCGCGGTATGCAAACTCCTTTGTTGATACAAAGGCTGTGTCTAAGGAGTTTGGAGCAACGAAACTTTTTCGATTTTAATTGTTAACTTAATTTAGTACCATGTAAATGGTCAATGCATCGAAGTCTTTACCTAGGTACTTTAATTATTCTTTTTTTTTATCCTTCTTCATAGTTGAAACTTGTAAAACAACTTCTCTGGGACGAGATTTGTCACACTCTTAATTTCTAAACACCACCCAGCTACTTGTCTTGCTCAAGATTGGGACCGTGGAATATACTATTATAGTGCTGGACTCACAATCCTGGCTGAACATCAGCCCCGTCTGTGGTGGTCTATTGGCTTTAAGAGACGCGCGCGGAATGTTACACGCCGCGCTGTGCGTCGAGTATGTTCGCCGTCCGCAAGCCCGCGCTTTCTTTGTTCATGACAGCGCTTCTTCTTTGCGTGAGTTCTAGGATAGTAGTTAATTCCCGAGTTGTGTGTATTAGTTATTTTTACGGTTTTCGGAAAATCTCAGTGCTAGTACCTGCCTAACTAGATATAGAAATAGCATTCCCGCATGAAATCATTCACGTGAGTAAGTCGTTATTTTAAATTAATTTAAATAAAACATTGATTTTATTTCCGGCTTTTATTTTTTTAATAAATAAAGAATGTTTGCATCTATATTAAGTGTTCCCATCACTGTTCCAACTTACGTGAGGTAAGTACAGAATTTAAGGAGTTATACATAATGCTATGAAAATCTTGATAACATTATGGATTTGGCTGACTATTGAGTCAAGAATGAAACAACGAGTGTTGTTTTGTAAACAACCTGATCTAGTTTCGTGAGTTTGAAACTTTGCCAGGACTAATTTCATTGTAAGTCCAGCTAGCTCTAGGCGGTCTATATAGTTACCTAGTGAAAGGTCAGAGGAAAATTTAAACATATAAGTACTTCATATTTACTGAAAGAAGCCTCTACTATAGAAGTATAGTATATACGAACTACATAGAAAATGCTCGTAATGCCACGGTGTCAGGTTCAAACCAAACAGGGGTATACATTACACATAAACGACCATTGACCGCCATTTTTGTTTTGGTAGTGGAAAATCATCAAGTGTCTTTTCCTGCCCTGGGTGGACCATGGATTCTTAGACTCTTTACAAAAGACCACCGCGTTTCTTATGCTCCAAGCCGGGCTTGCGGTACACCATTACGCGTGCACCCATAACCCTGGGACTAAACTAAATACCAGCAACATTTTTTTTGTACTTATTATGAATGTTCTCTTGGAAGATTACCCGTAAGTAAAGGATGAAGGAGGAATTCAACACTTCTCCAGAAGTGTAGAGGTGCGAGGTAAGACTGGAGATGGCTAGTTCATATTTTTTATGTAATAGTTCGTCAAACTAGCAGACGAACTACCTGGTGGTAAGCCATCAGCGCCGCCCATGGACACACGCAACGGAGTAATAACGATTGCGTTGCCGACCTTTAAGAGTTTTGGAGATTTAGGGATTGGGGAGGGATCGAGGGAGGGAAAGGATTGGGCCTCTGGTAACCTCACTCACATGGCGAAACACAAAGCTGTGGTTGTTTCACGCCGGTTTTCTTTGAGGCAGTGGTATTACTCCGGTCAAGCCGACCCATTAACAAAAACGCTCAAAAAAACAATAGAAATAACATGTATTTTAGCAAAATTTAAAACAATTAATCACAATTAATTATTGAGTATTAAACGATAAACTCTATTACTTTTCGGCTTCCTCTATTTCCATATGAGAGTCGGTTGACTGGGCCAATATGGGCTGCGTCATTGCTGGGGCGGATACAGCCATTGGTGGTTGTAGATCTGGGGATGCTGGCCGCTTCTGGCACTGTTCTATGGTGTCTGACAGGATCTCCTTCAGTGTGGACGCCAGGGCTTTCGGGTTGCCACTACTATCCAGCTGTTGGTAAAGATAATGTTAGAGATCTTTGTTTGTGTGACGGCAGTTTTAGATAGCTTCTTCATTAATGGTTAAACCTGTCATCTCAAACTTGGAAGGAGCAGAAATATTCTTAGGCTGAAGTGAAAACTTAGTCCATTAGTGTTTTATTTTTGGATGGGGTAAAAATCATGTCATGACTACTCCTGGGATGGGGTGAGAGAGAGTGTCAGATTGTTACTGACTTAGAACCACCCCTTTCCTACTTCTGCTCCAAGCCGAGATTATTGCAACAACAACCGCAACCCCTTGACATCGTCTACTGGTAAGGATGAAATATTATAACACACTTAGGAAAAAAGAGCATATCTAATATAGCATTAAAACACATGTTCTCATTACGGCTAGAAGGATCATTAAAATAGTCTCCATAAGCAGAACAATCATGCCTTACCGTTATAACATGACCTCCGAATCGTTTGTGTACATTTTTGACTTTATGTGCCGCTTCCCTGACGATCTGTCGTGCCGCGTTGATCTCTGACTCCGGTCTGCCTAATTCCGATAATTTGTTCTGTAATCTTGTCGCAGCCACCTGAGAATACAACCAATGAAAAATAATGATTAGGAGAAACGTCTTATTTTTCTGGAAGATTTCTTGTGTCTTCGGGTTCCTATTAATGGCTTTGGTGAGGCTAGCTTTATCCACATTTACGGGCAGAATCCAATTAAATACAGGGTGGGGTGAGTGATATTGTGTGTGGGTTTAGTCAGCTGATTAATCGTATTGTCTTCTATTGGCATGAACTTTCTGATAATTCTGCAGGTATACGATATAAACCTACAAGAAACGAGCGTACTGTAAGTACTAGCTACTTCGTAAATGGCTGGCAACGCGTCTGATCATTTGCCATCAGGTGTTCCATATGCTATTTTCCATTCCATAAAAACACTGTTTTGCATACATAAATATTATATGCAAATAACACAGAAGTAAAATCAGAAGAAAGTGTGAAAGTGTGTTCATTTACCTCATTGTCTACTTCAAGAGCCACAATCTTCTCTGGCCATTTCACCTGCCTGTTGAAAATGTTTGACATGCGAGGGTTCTTCGGGAAGCCCACCAGGATGAACCCTTTAGCGTCCTGCTGCATGAGCATCGCCTCCTTTATCAAGTCTACAGTCAGTTGCTGAAACAGGAAGAAAAGAATGAGAAGAAGATGTAGACGTGTTTAACTGAAAAGAAAAGGAAATTTTGGGGGCATGGTCGTGCCCATCAAATCATGGAGTAAATTCATATTTCTAGTATTTTCCAGTATTTAGAATGCAAGGTTGGCGTGTTGCTGCAAAACCGGATGTCGCGGTTTCAATTATCCGAGCGGAACAACTCTCTATGCGATCTGCAAATTGTTGTTCCGGCTCTTGGGTGTGTGTTGCCGAGTCTTTATATAAAATTGTATATTTGTAAACACACCCTTGACCCAGGATAAATTCCAAGTATCTTTTTTTAATATCCCGTCCGTAGATTTGTATTTGCCCTTAGCTAATATTAACAAAAACACATGGATCATAATGTCACCATTATTATTTCGCAAATTATCTGCGTTTCCAGAGGGGTACTACTAGTTTGCTATGGGGCTATACTAGAACCAGCACATCATGATCAGCCTATAAGTGCCCACTGCTGGACAAACAAAGCCCTTTTCTCACACGGAGAAGGTTTCTGCATCAATCACCACGCTTGCTCAAGGCGGATTGGCGATACCAAACTTGTATTAATAAATTATAAGTCCAGGTTTCACCAGAACACAGCACATACTTCGGGTATATCTTCCTGAGCCTGTAACTTGTCAGCAATCAAGCGCCCTCTAGACGTATCCTTCGAAGCTTCAGCTCGCACCAATTCTCCAGGCCTAATCATCGTGTATCCAGTTATGTTTGATATAGTTTGCGCCACAGTTTGATTTCCAGCACCCGGGACCCCGTTCACGAAAATCACGGGCAAATGTCTGATGGGAGACATATCGTAGACTATGTCCTGTGAAATAAATAAGTCTTGTTGCTTATGGAAATGCTTCAAAACATCCTCTGCTCCTTTAGAATTCTACATATAATATTGTCTACTGCTAGCCAAAATTGTATTGGCTATTTCTACATATTAGTCTTAATAAGGTGAAAATGTTTGTTTGCTTGCTAGCTTGCTCGCTTGCTTGCTTTAACGCGTTTATCTCTGGAACTACGGTTGAATGAAATGGTTTGAATTGAATAATTCCTTTTGTACTGGATAGATTATTTATCGAGGAAATCTATGAATTAAACATCGCGCTAAGACTAAAAGGAGTCAACAGTGGGTAGAACCTTGTAGGAGTGGTAAGTCAAAAATAAAGTATTTGATATTTTTTTTAAATTAAAGAAGGAAAACTTTTAAAAGTACCTTGTACTTGTTATGGAATAATAGAGGAGATCTGACAACTAATCAGATGGGTAACCTGATCATACGATTAGCGTAGCCCTTGGGCACTTAACACTTACGACACCAATGACAGGCCGTCAATTCAACTGGCTCTACAGCTAATACACTGATTGTAGAGATTGTTTATCACTTCATTGTAAGGATACTCATAAAGATATTTCAGGGAGTCTTTCCAAGCCTAGCACTGCTCACATCAGACTCCATCCTTATCATAAATGACCACTCACCTCCTCATTACCCCTAGAGTAAAAACATCCCATTTTGATGTAACGAGAATTGTCTGCAAGCTTATAACTTTGTAAAATTAATTATAATAATTATAATCCTCAATAAAATTTGAGTAAAATGACATTTCCAAATACCTAGATGACACTTTTTTGAATGGGACAACTAGATTGTTGACGGTTTTCGAATTAACTTTACTTTTTCAGACAGTATTTCTGATTAAAACTTGTTGGCTGAGATTTGCGAAAGAGGTTGTATAGTTTTTTAATTTATCTGATTGAGTTAATAGGTACCTGCATTGTTTAAGGTCAGAACCATTTTTGATTACTTAGTAGCAGGAAATATTGAGTTTCGAGGTCAGGCTTCTATTACATAATCTCTTCCTGCTATGTTAACCTTTTCAGTCACAGACGGACCAACAATACGTTAAAGCCGATATGTAACAGTATCTCATTACCTTATTATCCCGTCATTTAAGCTACAGCTAGCGACATTAACAACTTCAATTACAATCACTAACTAGATAACTATTGTATTGTTATTAAATGATTTTGCGAACCAAAATCTTCACATTCAGTTCGGTAAAACTCTCGATAACACGTGCTGTGTAAAACGCCTCTTCAATGAATTAATTTGCAATCGTAGTATTGTATATTGCTATCAAATATATTAAGGCGCTCCAACAATAAATTGCAGTTATTTCAGTCTAAAAGTCATTCATTATGCTGTTTATTCTACTAGTAATTTTGTCAATTGCCCACACAGCCTTAACAGCTAAATCAAAATGTTCAGTGGATACTCAATTGCGAACTCCAAAGTATCACCTGATGGAAAAATGCTACCGCTCTAAGCTTGGAATAGTTTCCAAGGCCAATTACACATCTCTGATCAGTTGCCAACGCCTTGGTTTTGAGAAGAAGGGCCTGGCAATAAACTTTAGCCCTCGTGAAGCTTGGGCAGATAGCAATGAGACTGTAGACTATACTTGTGAAGTCCTGAAGTGTGCTGAAGCAGATGGCGGATTGTCGATGGTGAATGACTCCAGATATGATTACTATAGTATTTATGCGAAGCCTATTCGTAAGTATCCATATATTGCCTAAATAGTAAATAGTTAGTTTAGGCAGGTATTCACTTTACATTCTTTTAGTCCTTAGGTACCTACATATTAGAGTTTTGATCAATGTGAATGTATATGAGTGTATAAGGATTTTTGGCAGCTTTTTGTAGATAGGTGCGTAGGTACTACTTTTTACATATTATGTGAAGTAGAAAAAAGATATCTTTAACTAATTGAGCTGAGCATATTATTATGATTAGTTGACATGACCTTAAATGCTAAGCGAACTTAAAATTTGCTGCTAAACAGTTTTTGCCACTACTGAATCCATGTTTGAGTTTTGTAACTCTTCGGCTATAAAATAAAACTTTTAGATATATACATTACAAAAATATTTAAGACGTGTTTTATAACTAAAATCATAGAAGAATAGAGATTAGCTGGAGAAAATACTGGAGTTAAAAAGAAATAATGAAGGACAAGAACTTGAACATTTCAACTAGATAAAGCTAATAATAAACTAAAGTCATAATTTACAGCTCACGTTAACACCACATGTGTACCAACCCTGGGCATGTTCTTCGTCATCACAAAGAGGCAAAACTACACACTAGGATACCGTCAGTGCAAGAACGTCAGCGCTTTACCAGTCGACGTTACCAGCGAGCAACGTACTGATGCATTGGCTCAGCTCCTGGCGAGTTCCAGTTTAGATATGGCATTTGTAGGCCTCAGGAGTAAAAATGGAAGTGCTTTTATTAGCGTAAATGGTAAAGTTGTTTTGTTGATTTAGTCAATAGATTACTTTCTTTAATTTCAATGGAAATTCCTAAATAATACAAAACCTTTGAGTATTTATTGAGAATTCAATTGGCGTGTAATTTATTTATTATCTGTTTTAAGGTGATGCCCTTGACTGCACGACTTATCGTGCTTGGGCTCCTGGAAGCCCGAGGAAAGCACGTAAAAAATTTGATTGCGTTGTATTGACCAAACAGCGAACTTGGGTTTCGGTGCCATGTAAAAACAATCTTCCTATTGTGTGTGAACTGATCCCAGGTGGTCCATATAAAAGGGGTTCTTTGTTTGCATCCCGAATCAAGAAACACAACGGTTTGTATTTTCAAAGTTTTAAGTAAATATGTACATTGAAAATTACTGCTTTTTATATTTTTTTTTTTGTTTTATTTCAGAAACTACAACGGAATCACAAAGTGATGACGAATAAATTTATATGGGTTTTATTTAAATTAAATGTTGATTGTGTTGTATCAAAAATGAATTTTCATTTGTTCCTTGATTTTTCATAAAAGTAATCCGTATTAAATACTTGAACGTTGCAAACGTATAATTAAACGCATTGACACTTTCTTGAGTGACATTGACAATATCAACACAGCTTGACAGCATTCGTTTTCTTATCACTTCACATTCGGGTTTTATTCTTTGCTCCGCACTCTGCGAATCTCATATTTGTGTTATTGTTTACTTAAATCTCATAGAATAAAGTTATTTAAATCGAATTATACAAAAATCCAACAATGGGCCAAGGCAAAAGTCAGTTTACTGAGGAAGAATTACAGGATTACGAGGTAAATAACGTGAAATTCAATTTATGGGTCTTGGTTAATTAGAACTGTGATGAATAAACATACTAACGGGCAATGAAATCTTGTATTAATTACTAATTATCTTGTCATTATTTTCAGGATTTGACCTACTTTACGAAGAAGGAAGTATTGTAGTGAGTAATAACCATTTTACTTCAATATTTCTAAAATCTATGAATGTATTTCAAAACTTTGTCCTTAGCAAAGAGTTATTGCTATTAACGCATTTTCTGAAACATGCTAATCTAACCAAATTAGCTAATAAGGAAGCAAAGGTTGGAGGTAGACTTAAATATTGGGCTCAGTAACATGCTACTGGAAATATCTATGTCCAGAAGTGAATATAGGCTGATGAGAATTAATAGATCATATGCAAATGTTGATTCTCTTACCTGCAAGGATACTCACTGACTAAAATTTCGTAAGTATTATTACGAAATTTTAGTTAGTCTAGAGGCAACAAGAATGTATCTTGTCTCTTAGCATATAATTGATGGTTTTTCTTTCAACTTAAAACTTTATTGATTATAGGCCTGTCTTGTTATTCATTTCAGTGCTCACCAGAAATTTAAAGCCCTAGCTCCTGAGAAAGTAGGACACAATAAGAATGCAAAATTACCAATGACAAAGATTCTGCAATATCCGGAGTTACGAGTAAACCCTTTTAGAGACCGCATTTGTAAAGTATTCAGCTCCAGTAATGATGGGGACTGCACCTTCGAAGATTTCCTCGATATGATGTCTGTGTTTAGTGAGATGGCACCGAAAGCTGTAAAAGCTGAACATGCTTTTAGGATATTTGGTGAGATATACAAACTTTTTTGTGTAATTTGGGTCTTTATGGTGTTCCATTTTCTTTTATTTTTTAATCCTATGAACCAAAATTCTTACCACAAATAACCATTACATAATTTTTTTCTGTATCGAATTTCAAAGACAAAGCAAATTCACAATTTGTGAATGCCAGTCTTATTTTTTACTGAAAATTATATTTTTATTAGTATATTGCAAAGCGTAAAAACTATGCTAACAAATTCCATTCTTTGTTCTTCTAGACTTTGATGGTGATGATATGATTGGAGTATCAGATTTACGAGAAGTGATTGAGAGGCTGTGTGGTCCAGAGCTCAAGCTGACTGACTCTGAGATACAGCAGCTAGTTCAAAATGTTCTGGAAGAGGCGGACTTAGATGATGATGGAGCCCTATCCTTTGCAGAGTTTGAACATATCATTGATAAGAGCTCTGATTTCTGCCAGTGAGTATTTCTGCTGCTTCTATTTTGGCTGTATGTATGAAATAAACAGAATTCCTTCTTGCCTTCACAATTAATTATGGTTATCTATAGATTAATCTTCAGATCATTAAGATATCTTGTAATAGGCAACAGACTCCTTATTTGAATTGTCACAGGATAGGAATTTGAAGTAATTTTTATAGTGAAAAATATCAAATTACATTTTAAAAGGATCTAAAAAATAACAAAGGTTGAGACTAACTTCCATAACGCATTTAAAAGTGACTCATCTTTGTCATAAAGGGGTGTCCAAAAAACTGCCACATTTGATTCACATTTGGAAGCCTAAGTGTGGTATTTGACCACTTTAATTATTTTAAATGATATGTTCAATATCCAAATTAATTAATTTATTATTTTATTTTTCAGTGCATTTAGAATAAGGCTATAAACTCAAGATCTCTCAACATACTCTACATGCTGTCACAACTTGAAAACATAAGTACTCATACATTCTCGAAGTAATACCTCTAGAAAACTGTAGTTATTTAGTCTCAAAAGACTTTTATTAGATTTTACAAACTTACAGCTAGGGACTATTACAGACAGATCAATCCCTGATCAGTTTAAAATATTATTTTAATTACATGGCAAACATATTAAGCCACATCTCATTTTAAAAGAAAGTGGTAATGTAATTAGATGAAAGCCGCACTTCCCAGCTTGGTGACTATTTCCTTGGCTGGTTTTAGTCTTCATTCATATAACAGAGCTGAAGAAAAAATTCTTTCATCATGTGCAAGCTAATAAGTCATTATTTTAAGATCAGGCTGATCTGTCAACTATAGTCCTAAGCAAGCTTTAATAACTGTATTTTTTTTTATCACAAAATGAGCTGAATTCAAATGAAAAATAATTTATAGTACCTATTGTGAACTTAAAAAAACGAAATAAGAACTAGTTAATCTGCATTCTCTAACTTTGATAGTATTTGTATTTTGTTTGTTTGTTTTTATTATTTATGTAAAAAAACGCAGAAATTGTATGTTGGAAAGTGCATAACTGAACAACACAAATTAGTTGGTAGACTGTTAGTAAATTTTTTTTTGTTTATTGAGACCATGAGAAGATTCAAGGAAACATTTTTTAGAAAAGTAGAGTAATCAATCCTTTTATGTTTAGTGAACAAACTGGATTTCGTGATTTCTAGTAGTAAAAATACATTTTACAAGTTCTTTATAATCCTAGCAGTAATAGTTCATAAGAATTGTACAATAATACTCGCATTTTACAATTTTTATGTAAAAAGCATTTATTGACTTATCTCATTAATTATTATTCAAAAGCAATTTCTTATTTAATGTTAAAATTAAATCTCCTTTGTTGGTATTATCAATTGTGTTAGATTTAATTGGTTTGTGATGTCTTCATCTTTTAACTTTTTGAATGCCGTAGTCTAGCTACAGATAACAAACAAAAATAGGCTAATGCCGAACTGAGCTGACCAGAATATATCATACTAGCTACTCTCGCGCGGTTTCACCCGCTGCTCGGCTGCATTTAATCGTAGCGTGATGTTTTATAAACCATAGCACTCAGGAACATTGTAGCTATCTATCAGTGAAAAAATTTTAGCAATCCAACCAGCGGTACCAAGGATTACCTCCTTCATACAAAACTTATAAAACCTCTTTATAATATTAGTAATAGTAGAGATTAAAAGTACATTTTGTTTGTCGTCTATAGCCAACTATGGCATTCAAAAGGTTAATAAAGAATATTTTATTGAAATGCCAAATAATTGTTTAATAAAGAAAGAGTGATTGTGTTATTGTATTGTAATGAAATTTTTATTCAAAGTTTTGTATTAAATTTTACATAAATTTTTATATGTAGGTAGGTATGTATGTACAGTATAAACTACTATGTAATCTGACATTGTTTTATTGATATTATATAAAACAAGTGATAAGGATGAATGAAGTGTTACAGTATATAATATTGATAATAATAATACTGCACAAATAAGACATAATTCTCTCAAAATGAAATAACATTGTAATGAATATAAAAAATATTTATTAAACTTATTTAAAATAAAAACATGACTTTGCTTACTCTAATTTAGTAAACAATCAGTTCTGTAAGTATCCTGGAAGCTTCATCCTCATGAATATCCAAGTAGTAAAGAAAGAAACAAGAATACATAGGAAGGCTACTGAGATTAACAAAATTCTATTCAGTTTTGGAGTGGTGGGGTTGTGTGTGCGGTCCAAAATTATAAATCCGAGACCACCGAGTGAGAAGAGGAAACTGGAAGCCAATCCTTCCATAATATATTGTCCGTTCACTCGATTAGGCATAAAGGCGACCGGCCTACTGTGTCCATGTTCATCGGTCGTTGAACCCACGCTCGGAGGCTCCACAATAACATCGTATATGATACCTACAATAAAAAATATGAATTATTAGACTACATTATAGAGTATTCCAATAAGAAACAAATTAATAATCTCACAAAACAATTCTCTAACCTCCGGTCACTAAAAAGTATGAAAGAAGCACCAGGGAGAAGGTTGTCATGGCAGATGGCGGTTGCAGCCATGTCGGTTTTTTAATTTTAATGTTAGGAACTTCTAGAACAGAGAATGGTATTGCGAATAAAGCTTCCATTTTTCGAATCTAATGAAACAAGAACCGATTTTGTTGAACGCCTGTTGACGTCGATGACAGCATTATCTGTATTTTAGTGATGTACTACTTAGTCTACTAAGTAGCAGAAATAAGGTAGTCGACTCTACATATGATATGACTGACTTTTCCTGAAAAACACTACTTAGGACTAAGAAAACCATCAATGATTTACCTTAACTAAATTATATAAAGCAAAATAATGATTCATTGAGAACAAAAATCTATATTTTTTTGTGATAAGTCGATCTATCCTGTAACGAAAAATGTCTTGGAGCTAAATTAAGTTATACGCTGACAGCACTACTGTCGGATTCAAACCACTCCGTTCCACTTGCGTGATTGTTATAACAAAAATGGAAGTTAATACCCTTTTTTCAGTACAAAAGATAAAATATTACAAATAACATAAAAAATCAAGAGTAAACATAAGATCGATTTATGTAATTTAGGGACATTTCTTTACTCTCCATATTTATATTTTACAATGAAATTGCAAAGGCCGACAGTATAAAGCTTAGAATGGAACTTGTGCAAAAGTCATGTTTTTGCGCCAATAAAAACAGAGCTAAGGTATTAAATGTTTAACTCCTATTGGTGCATAACTATGAACCGAAAACAGATGTTATTGTTCACCAATAGAATACCTTTATTTTGGTACTGGCAATGAGAACAAAAATTTTGGCAACTGTCAAATTACACGATTCGATTTTAGTAAAATTGAGCAAAAGTTCGTTCCCACATTTTTATCCGTTTAGTGACGGCAGCTAATTTTTCTAGTATTATTCAACCCCTCAAAATGTGTTAATTGTGTAAGTGTTATGTGCGATTAGTAATATTGTTCGGTTTTTGTTGAGTTTGAAGGCGTCGCGAATATGTTTTAATTTTACGCACAAAATGATATGGACTGTGGATATTTCATTGATATTACGATGAAGGGTGGTTTATGTGTTATCTACTCGTCGTTGCTGACAATTTCCGTGCTATCCAGGTACTGTAAACAATTTTGCTTTATACTAGATCTTTATATTAAATGTTCCTTTTAATATCTAATTCATATTGTACTCCACAGTTGTGCTCTCTTCATTTTGGTGGTTTCGGAGGCTCTCCAAGGCGAGGGCGGTGTCGATACGAAAGTAGATCTATCAGGACTGCATAATGTCAGTCAGAAAGTGGAAATTGGTGGGCAGGAAGTGCCGGGATCTCAAGTGCCTCCTAAGGCCCAGTTGGTTGAAGACCAGAAGAAGGAGGATCAAGAGATGATAATTGCTGAAACATTGTCACTGAACTCTGTTACAACGGAAGGGTGAGTAATAACTTGTTACTATTACTTCAACTAGTTACTAGTGAAAGTGAACAGTTCTATTCATTGCCTTCACTGGCCTTCAGTTTTTTGTACACAGACATTTGTTTTTGTTCATTTATTTGTAACTGGCATTCAAGATTCATAAGCAAAAATAAATTGAAAGTTTCTCACACTACCTTCCTAAAACATTGCACTGAAACTACTAATAAAAGCAATAAAAAGGCTAGTAATGTAGTCTTTGTGAGAGTGTAATCATTGGTGATCTGAATGACTTAAAGCCAATAACATTACTTGCACATAACTACCAAGAATAGCAAGTCATACAATATAGCTGTATACCATCTGTAATAAACAATTGTGTCTGTTATTACACAATTTGTATTATATATTCTATAAATAATCAATTAATGAGAGTCCTGCTCTATCAGTCATGACATTATGTAGATGCCAAAAAAAAACTCATAAAAGATACTAAACAAGTTAAAATTACAACATTGGATTATAAATAATAAATCAAATAAATAATTTATAATAAAATGAATACTTATAACATCCATTTGAAATGGTTCACTACATCTAGACACATAAAAATATTTAATTAAAAATATAGATTAAAAAAAAAAAATTTTCACTATCTAACTGTTGATATTAATGTGGATATGAATGACTGGTGTTATTAAAAGTGATAAGTTTATAAGTGGGTGTGTCTATATTTTTTATTGCTATGGTACTTTATTTATGGCTTATTATTATTATAGGCCAAATAATGATATTATGTAATAAGGTACTTCTTTAATAGATTGTCAATGTTAGTTATGTCAAGATTGCATCAGCATTACAAATTGAGTGTTAGTTTACAAAACAAACAGACAAATATGGTATGGATATTATTCCAGTAAGATGCAGGCTACAATGTCCTAATTAGAAAAAGATTAATTTAAGTACTGACTAAACTTTATCAAGGGAAATAATCATTGGAATTCCTATTAAATGTTATATTATCTATTAATCACGTTAATTGAGATATCTTCGCATTTTGGAAACACCCTTTATCTTAAATTTTTTGCAACTAATATTAGGATTACGACTTACGAAATAGATTGTCGAGGTATTTCTATTATCTCTTATCATTTTGGTTCACTGGGATTGTAGTCACGATTGTTGGTGTACTTGTTATCAGTGGCTGACACGTTTCAACACACCTTCTATTTTGACATTTACAATATTTCTATACAGATAAAAATTTGCCAAAGATATGTCTAGTCTCTTAATAAAGGCATGTGTTTAAAGTACTAAATTCTCGATCAAAATACGAAAGTGTATGTTGAAGATACAATACTGACTACTGTACTGGAAAACAGTTGATGATGTACCTACAGCAAAAAAAAAAGAGAAAGGCCTCTTATACTACCGGTTTGAAGAAGTAGAGCGTGCTGTAATGTGTGTCGATTGTCAACTTACGAATTTTTTTAGCACATACCTGTTAATGATAAAGTGTGTTTTTAATTCGCATATTAACTATGGTGATCGACTCATGTTACTTTTAACTTTGTGAAAAATTCGATCATATATTTGTGCTATCGATTGATATGGACATCATAACTAAGTTCATATGGTCGATTGGCGTAAATATATCAACACAACAAGTTTTTTATCTTATCAGCCAGGACACCAAAATTTGTACATACGTCAGATTACGACCATTAACGCCATCAGTACGATTACAAAATATTTTTCATTAGAATCCATCAAACCCCAAGCGAACGCCTACGTTCACGCACTTATTGTGTCTCGAAATACCACAATTGAATTTAAACCAGAATATTAAAGATTAAATCAGAAAAGACTTTGTAAGCCGTTCAAGTTTTTAATATGTGATGTTAAATAGCGTGGACCGGAACCCGCATAATTTTTGTCGTAAATCGTAATCGTCGTACGTTGACCTTGCGAATACATTTTGTCGCTGAACTGATTTTTGAGGTCGAGAGATTTAGCTGTGACAATGGTAACCGTTAAATAACTGACTTAACGCGCTCTCTGGAGCACGGAGGAGGCATTTACTGTTAATTATGGTCACACAAACTCAAAACAAGACTTTTAGCGTAATCTTAGTCAACCCTTGTGTTTCGACATGTGAGTGAGGTTACCGGAGATATAATCCTTCACCCCCCTCAAACCCAAAATCTCCAAAACCCTAATCCCCAAAAGGCCGGCAACGCATTCGTCGGCCCTCCGTTGTTGCGGGTGTCCATGAGTGGTGCTGATCGCTTGCTATCAGGTAATACGTCTGCTCGTTTGCGCCACTTATCACATAAAAAACCCATTAACAAAGGAGAAAATTCGGACTCACAAATAGGTCAGGGATGTTTTTTCTCTGTTTTAAAAGCGTGATCCCGATTTTTTTGTATGTTGTTCTGGAGCCGGTGCCAATCAAAACAATTTCTTACTTTAAATTCCGACTTTGTTTATCTACTTCCCGTAATAAAATGTAAGCTGGTTTTATTATCTACGAATATGTTTTGTGAAACCGATATTTTGTCGTGTTATCTAGTCACGTTTCTGAATAACTAACTGATTTATTACTGTTCAAACGAATACCAAAAGATTTTGAGTCATTATCGATGCACAATGTCTCAGGCAATTTCCGTATTATCCGAACCGGACAAATTTTGTTAGGGGATTACAATATTAACTGTACAGAAGTGATGCACAAACAGACATTATAAAAGTTATACGGCCATGTAATAGCTTTACAATATGCCCCTGATACGCAACAACCCGCATCGTCGTCGCTTGGTATGTTTTTACATCTATTGTTAGTTTACAATCGATCATACATTTAGCTATTAGGTAATTTAGCTGTTAAGCTGTTTTCAATGTTTGGCTATGCTTACAGTCTAAAAAGCGCATTCAATTTCAATTTAATATTTTATAGAAACTCTTGTTGAAAATAATCAACGATAAATTCTAATACGAACGGGTATGTCCATGTTATGTCTTTCGTGTCTGTTTTTAAATAATTTTGTCTATATATTGTGAGTTGTTAGCCCTTTTTCGTCTTAAAAACATGTCCGGTTCTTTACGAGGACAAAGTAAGTAGGTGTCTGTTAAAAATAAACTGCGACTCGTTTTCGATGTGGATAGATGACTTCCTTTTGCTCAACTTCCTTGATGATGGAAGTGCTATCTTAAGAAAAGGATCTCACACTCTTTCCGGACAGCGCAGTGGATACGAACTATTGTGTGTAGATATCATATATTATTATTTTTATTTAGCTGGGTTTCATAGCTTGATTTGAGAGGTAGAAAGCCACGTGCATGTTCGAGTTTGTTGGTGCACTAAACAAGACTAATTTCGCTTAGAAACTAACTATGCGGCATGTGTTTAAAAATAGCTTTTTGGAGACTGATATGTTGTAGCCCGCTAGACCGCTAATTCCCGTCACCTCGTCCAAGCTAACGCCATGATTTCCTGCTGGCTTATAATTATTTTGTTTATGCTTTTTAAACATATATTACGTACTTACTTATTTAACTACTACTTTGAGTGTTGTATCAATTGAAACTGTCCTATACGAATAGTTATGGGACCGTCATATAATTACAAACATCGCATAGCAATCAAATAAAATGTTTTTACACGTGAACATATAATTTTTTGTGATAAACACATGCAAGGCCTGTTTGTCGTAACAATTATGTTCCGTGCGTGACCGTCGTTCATCTGATGTGATAGGAAAACTCCCATTTTTA